TATCTATATCTATATCTATATCTATATCTATATCTATATCTATATCTATATCTATATCTATATCTATATCTATATCTATATCTATATCTATATCTATATCTATATCTATATCTATATCTATATCTATATCTATATCTATATCTATATCTATATCTATATCTATATCTATATCTATATCTATATCTATATCTATATCTATATCTATACCTATATCTATATCTATATCTATATCTATATCTATATCTATATCTATATCTATATCTATATCTATATCTATATCTATATCTATATCTATATCTATATCTATATCTATATCTATATCTATATCTATATCTATATCTATATCTATATCTATATCTATATCTATATCTATATCTATATCTATATCTATATCTATATCTATATCTATATCTATATCTATATCTATATCTATATCTATATCTATATCTATATCTATATCTATATCTATATCTATATCTATATCTATATCTATATCTATATCTATATCTATATCTATATCTATATCTATATCTATATATATATCTATATCTATATCTATATCTATATCTATATCTATATCTATATCTATATCTATATCTATATATATATCTATATCTATATCTATATCTATATCTATATCTATATCTATATCTATATCTATATCTATATCTATATCTATATCTATATCTATATCTATATCTATATCTATATCTATATCTATATCTATATCTATATCTATATCTATATCTATATCTATATCTATATCTATATCTATATCTATATCTATATCTATATCTATATCTATATCTATATCTATATCTATATCTATATCTATATCTATATCTATATCTATATCTATATCTATATCTATATCTATATCTATATCTATATCTATATCTATATCTATATCTATATCTATATCTATATCTATATCTATATCTATATCTATATCTATATCTATATCTATATCTATATCTATATCTATATCTATATCTATATCTATATCTATATCTATATCTATATCTATATCTATATCTATATCTATATCTATATCTATATCTATATCTATATCTATATCTATATCTATATCTATATATATATCTATATATATATCTATATCTATATCTATATCTATATCTATATCTATATCTATATCTATATCTATATCTATATCTATATCTATATCTATATCTATATCTATATCTATATCTATATCTATATCTATATCTATATCTATATCTATATCCATATCGTTATCTATATCTATATACAAAGTCTCATGCTTCGATCTCGATCATTATATATTACATATATTTATATGATGCGAAATGGGGGCGCATAGTCTTTTTTTTATTGTAAGCTTTAATGTAAATCAGACGCCATATAACGGTTATAATAGATGCGTAGCTTTTACTCAAAAAGTCAAATCTCAGTCAAATTTAAATGATCACAAACAAAGAGTACGTTCAGCAGACTGATTGATAAAGCTTTTACGCTGCAAAGCAAACATATTTAAATGATTTGTAAAATAAAAGCCAATAAATTAAAATATTTCGGGTGTATGACAATAGATCGTCTAGCATTGTGCACAGATTAACGATCAATAAACTCTTTGTAATCACGCTTAAAGCTTTCTGCTGAATGCATCCAAGGTATAGTCTGGCAGATATATGAATAATGTGTTTTTTTTTGTTTGTAATCATTGATAGATTAGCTGTAGTTTGTTTATTTTATAATTTCTTGTTGTTGCGCAATATTGACAACGTCATTTTTTTCGGATCGTTTCTATGTTCTCCGATCAGTTCAAATTTGTTTAGCGTCGAGATGAGACACTTATGGATCTTAGTGGTGCTGATGACAGCATCGACTCTTGCGGAGTATCGAACATTGTATGGCGGGAATTTTATGATTAGCAACGGCGGCTATATAAGTAACAGGAATACCGGTATCATATCCGGGAGCCAAAGGGGCAGACCTCTCGAAAATGTCGGAAATCAGGCCAGATATGGATTCATTAATGGAGACATCAGCGGGGGACCATTCGGACAGCGATCTAGCAATAGTGGAGGACCATTTATCCTATCTGGAAGCCAAGGCGGAGGGCCTTTCGCAATTTCTGGCAGTATGCCTGGAGATGGTTTGGTAAATCGAGAAAGCAGTGGAGGATCCTTTGGACAAGAAAACACGGGACTAATAAGAGGAAGTAACAGTGGAAGCCAAGGCGGAGGGCCTTTCGCAATTTCTGGCAGTATGCCTGGAGATGGTTTGGTAAATCGAGAAAGCAGCGGAGGATCCTTTGGACAAGGAAACACGGGACTAATAAGAGGAAGTAACAGTGGAGGACCATTTAAAGTCAACGTCGATCAGGAAGGTATTATATATGGAGGACTGAGCGAAGCACCCATTCGAAGTCAGCCTAGAGACGAATTAGTGAACGGTGGCAGCAGTGGAGGACCCTTTGGACAAGAGACAACTGGATTAATAAAGGGTAGTAATAGTGGTGGACCCTTTCAAGTAAATGTCGGCCAGGAAGGTATTATAGCTGGGACCCAACTTGGGGGACCTTCTGGAAACCATGTAAACGCTGGCAGCGGTGGAGGATCCTTCGGACAAGGAAACATTGGATTAATAAGGGGAAGCAACACTGGTGGACCATTTATAGTTAATGCCGATCAGGAAAGTAATATATCTGGAGGACAGAATGATGGACTTTTTGGAAATCAGGCTAGGGATAAATTAGTTTACGGTGGCAGCAGTGGTGGACCCTTTGGACAAGAGAAAACTGGATTAATAAGGGGTAGTAATAGTGGTGGACCCTTTCAAGTAAACGTCGGCCAGGAGGGTATCACGTCTGGAAGCAATAGCGGGGGACCTTTCGGAAATAATGGAAATATGGCTGGCGATGGGTTGGTAAATGGACACAACACTGGAGGACCGTATGGACAGGCAACAGATAGATTAATACGAAGTAGGAGTGGGGAAGGACCTTTCAGATCTAATGGGGGCATCATTACTGAGCGCCAAAACGGCGGGCCTTTTGGAAATCAAGCTGGAAATGGTTTGGTTAACGGTGGCGTCAATGGAGGACCGTTTGGTAAAGAAGAAGGCGGTTTAATTCAAAGTAGCAGCAGTGGAGGGCCTTTTAAAGCAACTGGCGAGCAGAATGGTATCATATCTGAAGGCCAAAGTGGAAATATTTTTGGAAATAGATCTGCTAATGGATTGATTAACGGTAGCGGCAGTGGAGGACCTTTTATGTGAGAAAAATGCGGAGGCATCATAACGATCAAAAAGCTTTTAAGTTGTACATTATCTTTTGATTAAAATACCAAACGACATTGAACTTTATGCAAGCAGCTGTTTTATTTCTCTGCTTTGTTCGGTAGGAAGCATTCCACAATTGTTTAAATTGATTTTCTGATTTATGTGTCTGTTTTCGCCGCATGTTGCCAGTCAAAGATAGCAGCAGTATAGACGTCGTCCCCAATTCAGAATCGTACTTAACATTTGCCCAGTCCAAAAATGCAGTCAAAGTTGTGCAATATGCAACAGTGCCCCACACTGTCCCCAACAAACCCAACCTGAACTGGCAACCTAACATTTTTGTGCTTGTGCAGCCAGGCGTTGATGGAGACATTCGCCAATGGCAACGGGAGTGAGCGAGAAAGTGTGTGCCCTCTCACTCTCTCTCTCGCTCTCTCTGTCGCTCTGTTATCTGTGCCGCACATTTCTAGCTGTGCTTTGTGGCAATTGTTGATGTTGTTGCTATATTTAGCAGCACAGACGCAATATATATAGAGTTTAATTGATTGGAAAATCAAATTGATTCGATTCGAACAACAAAAGCAACTTCAGCCCTCACAGCCCCCCAGCCACACAGTGCGAACGGTCCAGCCTCGAGTGGACCACAGCACTCGCCGGACCAAGCCCAGCAGGTTGGTCGGAACCTGTGGCACGGCTGGTCGCAGCTCATATATTTGCCACAGAATGCAACTGCGTCCTTTTTAATGGTTCTCCATGTCGATGCATTATTGTTGGGCTTTTAATCATGGTTTGGTCCCTGCCATGGGCTTGCTCTTGTTTTGGTTTAATGTACCCATGTGGCAAAAAAAATTCTCCTGGCGGAAAAGCAATATGAATTAGAAGTCAAAAGAAAATAAAATATATTTAATATCAGGCCAATGAATCTTATCAATGTTCACATAAAGACGATTAATGTGATCATTAAAGTTTATTATATATATGACCCATTGTTAAAATATTACTTCATATTACCCTCTAAATGTAGCGATTAACTGATTACGGCGCACATATTTATAATATTTGACAGTTAGATTACGTACTCTCTATTATTTCCTGAAAAAATTTGCCTAGTTGCAGAAATTTATTACAAGTTACAAGAAATCGATTATGAGTTATTATGATTTAAAGTCATTAAACAGAATTCTCAGATATCTTTTTATATAGTCAAGCTTAGTGTAGCGTAGTAGTGTATCTAGTATTCTATTCTGTGTATTCCGAATTGAATATCAGTGTATTCCGCAAATAAATGTATTCATTATGTTATGATATAATAATGATCGAATTGCATTCGATTGTATTTCATATTAGATATTCACAGCAAATTTCGAACTTGAATCATTTCCAGATGTTAATCTATAGATCTCTACTGTTCTCCAAATCCAAACTGAAATACAAAAGAAGTTTACTTATATTCAGTACCTATATGTTTCTCTCTTTGTTGTTATATAATATCTCCCACATATTACTTCAAAAACATTTAACAATCGCTCTCTCCCTCTCTCGCTCTCTCTCATGTTGTCTTTCCCACGTCCAAAGCCAGTCAACAGCTCAGCTATGCATTAACAACATCGCAATACCTGTTTAATTTTTATTGTTCAACTTGTTCCACAGCCGAGCAAAACAAAATAGCCGCAAAGCGTTAACTGCAGTTGGCTGGTGGCCGTTGAGGTGGCGGTTCGAGAGGAGAGGGGCACCTACAAAAGCTCACAACCTGCTCACCAAGTGAGGCTAATGTGACTGCTCAATGAATGCCAACAGCCGATATGTTTAATGGCAGCAATACAAAAACTTTTACGTACTACCCAAAGCCAGAGCCAAGCAATTCAATTGAAAATAATTAGCAGACACATAGCGAAACTTCTTAATTGCTCCAGCGTGAGGGGTGAGAGGCGTAAGGGGCGGTACATGGAAGAGAGGAGCAACGAGAGCGTAGCTCGATGTTAACTTGGCAGCCACTCAAATTTAAACATGAGTAGTCTAGTCGGAAAGGTTCGACTAGGAGATACCGTCTACCCAGCGACGAGCTGCCGTAACAAAGATTCGAACTTCCTTCTCTGTGCATTTTACACAGTGTGCGTGCATTCTTGAATATCTTCGGTGTTTATAGTCCGATCGTTATGAAATTTACAGGGCACGGGGCTGGCTATCATTGATACATGATTTCGGGAATCGAGTATTCTTCCTACTCAATAACCTCCTATACCCTTTTCAATACGCTTATATATGTACCTTGATTTAAAATCATTTTTTAAAAAATATTGAAGAAATTGGGCGAGATATCAAATAAAATTATAGGATTTTTCTGCTTGTGATATTAGATATGTATCTTATATTTTTCCTACAACAACGCGAACAGACAGACAAATTAGCAGACGGACGATCATCGATCAGTGCCCTTCTCTGATTAACTTTCAATAAGTACAGGGTAAACAAAATCGTAAACAAACAAGTTGACGAGTAGGCAGTGATAGCAGGCACAGTCAATCGCATTATGCATTTACTTAGGTTGTCTGTCTGCCCCAAGACATTGTCCGAGTCTCCTCGTGCCCCGTGGACGCACTGTATATGCTTTTGTATAAATTCACGTTATTATTTAAAATTCATTCATTTGAGCTTCTTGCCTTGACCATGCGGCATAGTCATCAATTTATTTTCCTGCTGTGGTTGCTCGTCGCCCTGCTCAGCGGTAAGTTGTCCTATATACTACCTATGTGCATAAAATTATATGTGAATGTCATATTGTAGGTGTCAATGGCCTGCCCTTTTCGTTTAATTGGGGCCCCTCCGCGAACCGGGGACCCAGCGGCGGACCAGCCTGGAACGGTGGAAGCGATCAGTCAACCGATAATATAATTCTACATTCAAACGGCAAATGGCGCTATTAGTTGACTTTGGACCTGATTAATGATATAATCCAGTTTTATATATTTTGTAATTGCTTAATTGATCGGGTTTCTATAAAAATGCTTTTTGTTTCCATAGTTTTCTTTTTTTTGTGGGTGCTGTGAATTAAAGATCGACGAACAATATTGCCATTAAATAATCAGCAGATGATTTACGATTATGTGATCGCCGGAAGTAATTTGTGAATATTGCTTGACTTGGTTGACTGTTTCTATCTGGGGTACTTAAATGTCGCCTACGGCTGGAATTAAAGTATTAAGGGGTATTAAGATTGTCGCATAATGTGTAATGTATCAATGAATTTTATTTAATAAACAAACCAGTAATATACCAAGTTTCATATTGTATAATAATTACCAATAGTAAAACTCACCAGTTGTTAAAAACGGAATTGTTTTTATTTTTAACTAAGGTTCAGTTTTATATCATGGTTTCAAGTCCAGAAACAAATTTCTCGGTGCGACTTACGCCTTGAACCAAGTTAAGCTTAAATTTCTGTTCGTGAACCTGGTATTTTGACACTTGCAATCTTGCTTCTTAATGTAAGAATTAAAGTTTGGTTTGTCTAATCTGAATCGATTTAAAATATATATAATGCAAAATCTTATTATGTTTAAGACAGTTTATTTTTGTGTTTGTGGCTTGGTTCACGCCTTGCAACAATGCTTAATGTGATTAATTTAATTGTTTTGATATGGTTCGCGTCAGGTTTGGGATGAGGTTTTATGTTAGATCTATGTATTGCTTAAATAAAAATTGAGTTGATGGTTTGACTTAAAGCCGGCCTAAATCTTCGAATTAAATAACTCAATTTAAGCAACTTTGTCTAATGCCGGTTAATATATGAGTAAAGAGTAGATTACTCTTTGACATGGAAAGGGCATTTAAAGTACGGCCTGTATAGAGCTCAGCCTTTTTCCAGTTTACTTTTAATACCATTGTGTTTGTTGCTAGTAAATACAGTACAATACAAACGCTCTCTCTTTGTCTAGCGAGCTGATAAGCCGTCAGATTATATTGTGTATTCCCCATCTGAGCGATACACTTCTGACCCAAGTATGTACGAGAAACGAGTATTGGCTTAAGTACAAATGCAAATATTTGCCATGAAAGGGATTTCCCAAGTGCTGACAGTTATATATATGTAGGCTAGATCAGTTAAGACGAAAAATATATATATATGTATATGCATTTAACAAACATATATAAATACATATAATCAACATTTACACAGTAAAATTAAAAACTATATTATCAAAAAAAAAACAAATAATTTTTTTTTTAACAATAAGCCTGAATACAAATTGTGTTTAATTTTATTATTTTTGTGTACTTATCGCATCGCTCTCAATTATTTACCAATTTCAATTTTTGTCAAATGGAATTCGTGCGACAGCTTAATTGATGTGCACTCGGGCTGTGTCTCTTTTTGAGTTACTCATCAACAGCTCGTCACCTAGTTCGTAGCACAGAGCAACACCCAAAGTTTTGCCGTTAGTAAGGTGTGAGTCGGAACCGGGAGTCAGTTTAGAGACGATCTCAGTTCGAGCGGCAACCGCAAATCGTGTGGAAGCGCAACGCCGTAATCGTCTCTGGCTTTTTCCCAGAGGCTGCACCGCTGACCTCTGTCTGATATCTACCCACGTAGTATATTTAATAAACAACATATAATACTCGATCGATCGCTTGTATAAATAGCGGGCATTTAGCACTGCATTGATATAGTCAACCCGTTGCACAAAATGGACATGTATCGCGCTTTGATGATGATCGGGCTTGTTGCACTCGCCGTCTGCTTGGCCAGCGGTAAGCACTCAAGTTTTTCTGCTAAGGCCTGCGGCTTATATCACAATATAATAATTTACAGCACAGCCAGCCGCGACGGATACCCCCAAAACATCCTTACCCGGCACAGCGGAGCTGCCAACCCCGCCGACGCAAGCTCAGCCGGTGTCCAGCTATCTGTATAATCAAGGAGGAAATGTTGTGCTGCAAAACGAAGCTGGTAGCATCTACACGCGCCCCGATGGACGTAAGGTATTGGTTGGAGCTGGCGGCCAGACGATTGTAACTGGAGGCGATGACAGCGATGAGGATGACGATGATGATACTCAATCGGGATTTAGCGGCAATTACGGCAACAACATTGTCATCAATGGACGAAGTGTTGGTGGCTCGAGCTTCATTTCGAGCAATGGCGGCGCATTGGTCATGAACCAGGCCGGAGAGGGCGGCTACCAGACGTACAACAATCACCAGATTCGTATTGTCAACGGCGGTCTGCAGCTGACCACCGGCGGTCAGGTGTATGATTTTCCGGCTAAAGATGCTAGCGTCAGTTCCCAGGAGAAGATCAACATCAATGGCCAAGAGGCTACAGTGAAGTACGAGAATGGCAACATTGTTGTGGAGCTGGCTGATGGCACAGTGCTGGCCAAGGCCGATGGTGGACTCTTCAGCGGCGATCGCAATTCGTATGTGAACAGAAAGCAGATCCAGGAGGATGCTGCCCGAGAGGCTGCCAAGGTTCAGGAACACATTGCACAACTGCAAAAGGATTTGCATGAGCAGCTCAACAGTCAAATGAGGAAGCTACAGGAAGATCTAGAGCACACCCTGGGCAATATTCATTTCTAGTTTATTAAATGAAATGTGAGCAGTTGCCCTACATACAGATTTGCATATACTCAAAATTAATTGTCAGTTGCTGCTTAAACACATTTACATACTATGCACGAGTATCTATAACTTATTGTCGAAATAAAGTACATATTATCGAGCTATTCAAATGTGCATTTAAACTGACATGTTTCAATTTCTGCTGATGACGATATTCGACTTTGATATCATAAGACGCAATTCAAGACAGTTCACTAACGAATTATACAGAAATACGGCACAATATTCAATTGCCATGCTCATGCTTATTTCTGTTCAGGGTTTTGTTACGAACACGATTATTCTGAGAAATAAATATGCAAATTAAACTAGCTTCATAAACGTAAAACTTTTTAAGGTTTGAATTGTGTCGTTTGAACATGGTATTTGAGGTAATTTTGATTGTGTTGTAATTAATTAAGTATATATGTGTTTACACATATGTATGTATGTACATATGTACATATGTAAGTATATGTAAAAGCACGCACCCTACAATTGCATACATTAGACAACGGCTGTGATATTTTCACAGCAATAATATGTCATTCAAATTTTATTCCAATAATAAAGTCTGCAGCTGTAAAGAATAATGTTTTTGAACGGAAATAAAACATTAAAACTTAAAGGGATAGTAGACGGTATCTTAAACGGGCTGAGAATCCCTAAATTCAGAAGGGCACAAAAATATCCCTTCTGTTTGCAAATGCATTTTAAAACCAGATTATAATTATCTTGAACGTGATTGTACTCGACTCAAATGTGTTTAGATCTGAAAAAAGTCAACAGTGTACTCCAACGTTTCGAATCCCATATACATAGTTGCATATAAGTATATGGTATAATGTTTCTGGTGGTACTTCTTTTTATTCTTTATCTATGACATTTGGAATACTATGATAAAGTAATACATATTATGCACAATTTTTCTGCTGAGTCTGAAAAATGCCAACCATGTGCCCTGCTGTTCGTTCTACATTTTGCACTCATACTAATTTCAAAGTGCCATATATCAGTGGGCCTGGAGTTGGGGGCGAAGGGGCAGTCAACCGCCCAGCTGCCGGGGCCACGCAAATTCCACAAGTGACAAGCGCCTGGCAGCACTGCCACAGCCACCTGTAGACATAGTCGTGGATCCATACTCAGCCCGTTTCTAACCCCTTCCCTGCTGCTGGCAGGGCAATGTGTGTGACAAATGTGCGTCAAGTTACTGGCAACTTATTTTACAATGGGGCTCCCTTGCAGTGGCGCGTCCGCTCGCAACTCTCAACTTAACTCTGGCAAAATATTTAACTTAGCGGAATCTTTTATAATTAATTTGCCAAGCTCCAGCTTTTTATACCCTATATCTGGCTAAAGATGGTATGATGGTTCCCATTGTATGTATCTCCTTCTGAGTCCATAAAGTATATACATATGTACATACTATATTACTGATCAGGAGGAGAAATTAAGTCGATTTATTCCCGTTTGTCTGTCCATCTTTCAAACTCGAAAATAATAGACTTGAAATTTGAAATTATCTCTTATATGATATGCACAACTGCTTTATCAGTATTTTTTCTGAACGTTGACCCATTTTTGTAATACCGATAAATATCGATTTTTAAGCAAGAGCTTGGGGCATCAAATCTGGTATCTGGTAGTGTCTCGTACAGTATATAAAGATTAAGAATATTTTCTTATAGAGCTTTTTCCTAGGGTATTTCCTAGTCGAACACTCTATATTTTCTATGCGTTGATACATACCTCTTGCGTTTGACTGCCTATTTTGAAGTTGCCTCAAATTTGTGCTGCAAGTTTTGGTATTTGTAGCTACATAAAAGTGTGGCATAAGCTATTTTGTATACATTGCACCTAGAAAATGGGTGAAAAAGTTGTAATATAAATTTGCTAACTTACATAAAACCTAAGACTTTTTAACTAAAACATTTTTAAATGCTCGCCTAAAATCAGGAAGTATTTGATTGATTTATAAGCACCTCGTTATACAAGCGACACCGTTTAAATTAACTCTCGCCACAAGCCAGACACCAAATTATACCCTTCACTTATTCAATAAGAGTAAAAAAGGTGTACTGAAGCTTTGTATATGTTTGTTAGTGGCAAAAGAAGCATTCTTCGACATAAGAATATTTATATACATCTTTGAACACTAAATGCAGACAAGGTCATCTATTCATGCATATCTCTATTTGACCTTAAATCGATTAGTATGGATTCGACTCTAATTTTTTCTCCAAACGAATTTTGGCAGGATTACGCCAGGCAAGGCTCGACTCGCCACGTAATCCTGATGAAGTAGTAGTAAGCAATTGGAATATTTGTCAGAAGCTGTTATATTTCTTTAAACCAATTGAATATTCCCTCTTATTTCTATGGAGACCAGGTATAATTATCACGAAGTCGATCATTAGTTTCGTTTCACCGTGGCGTTTTACGCAAAGTTTCTTATGTAACCGAAAAGGATTTATATGTAATTCATTTAGGAGCGACCTGATCAGTGTGTAATTGATCTGCTACAGGATGAGATGTATTTCGATTTTACTATTTCTGATAAATGCATCGGCTGTGATTATGAAGGATCCAACTGAATCTTATATAGAAAAGAATAGTGTAAAGGCGATTAAAAATCCGACTGCATGCCCATGCGGCAAATACCGTGCTAGGTGGCATCACCTTATGGACGGAGAATCATCATGGCTTTATTCTTTAAGTGAAAGTACCGAGCATAAGGAAAACCCTAGACATGGGCCTCTTGATAATGATTTTGACTTTCCTACTGCAAACTCAAACACTGAAGAGTCATCCAGTAGCGAGGAACTCGAGGAGCATAAGAAAACGCATAAATATAGGGCCAAGCATAAGAGGTTCAATTGCAAATGTCTTAAACCTTTTCAAAAGGCGAATAAATAATAATAGGGCACATATGGGGTATAAAAAACGAATTTATTTGTGTTTTTCTAAAACTAGCATTGAAATAATAACCATGAGTCATAATAAACGTGCCCTTCCTTAATGTATAATAAGCAATTACATAACCGTCGAAAACATTTTATTGTTATCTGTTTCAAAATGAATAAAGAGTATATTCAGTTGTCTGATTGCATCTGAGGCCAGACTTAATACATTCATTCTTGATCTTAAAAAGAAAACATGATGAAATATCTGGGCTAAACTAGAAAAATTTTAAAGCATTTCAAATTACATGATTACATGATACAAAGGCCGTTAGTCTCAGTGCACCGTTGCGTATTGATTGAAATGGAAGCGATAATTCTATGGCGAGCTCCTATATCTGCGAGCCAATTAGTTTGCAATTTTTTGGCAGCAAGATGAAACGTATTTCGCTCGGGCTCCTGCTAATGGCTGTATCGATTGTGGCTGTAACTGGTGGAACATATAGTTTTGAATTGGACAACTTGAAATCAGAAGAAAGTTCCTATCTTCCCGGCAATGTTAAGCAAGTTAAGCTTGAGGTTAACCCTCAATTCGCACAATCTATGCCGGTGGACTATATTAAACATCTAAATGATGTCATATCTTCTGGAAATTTTCTTGAAAATGAGGCTCCTGAAAAGAATAGAAATGGTGGGAAAACCAAATGCGATTCTGCATTTAAATTTGAATGTTATCTCTTATAGTTCCAGGTAATGGACAAGATCTAAATGATGCATGCCAGAATGAAACCCAAAGTGGAGAAGCGGGGCGAGAACCAAATCGAAAAGAAGGCACAAATCATGCTGGAACTATTGATAAAACTGAAATACGCATTCAAATAATTTCTTCAAAATATAACCAAGATGAGAGCAGTTCTTCCAGCAGCGAAAGTAAGGAGCAGAATGAAAAAGTGGCTAAACACAACATTGATAAACCTTGTGCTGAGAAAACGGTTGAGAAAACTCAAAGTTCGTCAACCAGAAAAGAGAGTCGCGAGCAGAATCAAGGAGTAGGGCAAACTGAATGCGAATGCGAAACTTCTACGCCCCATGGAGAACTAGAAGCTTCTCCAGTTTATTGAAGACCAACAATAAATTTCCAGCAAAATGCCCAAAATTGTTATACGCAAATTTGAGGACTGCAAGCCCAAAATATAATTGCCGATGGCTCTAATCAGCTTTATATTTGATATCTCCTTAAGCATTTATTATTTGGAATGTATCTATTTTGAAGGAAAAAGTTCGGTTTTATTTTAATTGATTCAATTTCGGTTCGCTTCATGGGAAAATATAATGGTGCACTGCAGATTCGAACTGGTTTGTATTTTTCACGATTAACATCGAGAATAATATTTCACAGTTTTGCAGTGTAAGTATGAAAATATTTCTGCTGCACTTTTAGCTTCAGCTGCTTGCAACTTGATGGCATAATTTTGTGACAGTATTTATTTTCTTTTCGTTTTTGTTGTTGTATTTTGCCAGGAACTGTGGGCTGCGCATAAAGTTGTCACAAGTCATTTTAACGCCTTGCCACGTGCAAAATGGCGTCAAAAGTGTCTGGTTGTGTGCGTGTTAAATGAAGCATGCGTGTGAGCGTTGCTTTAAATGGGGTGTGCTAGTGTGTGTGTGTGTGTGTGTGTGTGTGTTTGTGTGGCAACTGACACAAACTTGCCGCTAGCTTGCATTTTGTAATTCTCACACATTGCGCGAAAATGAGAAAATGAGAACAGTTCGCAAATGTTGCTGACAGCGTCGCTTAGCTGCCCCCTATTTCACATACATACACACACTTACACACACACACACGCACATATAAATAGTTACGCTTATGCAAGTGCGAGTCGTTGGTTATATGAAAAATTAAATTAGTTCTACCTTTTGGCCAACACGCCTAATTTGCTGCAAATTATCTGTGACAAATGCAGATGCGACAAATGTCTGCATTAATTAATATGTCTATTATGTGGCACCTATAAACTATATATACGAAACTATGTATACGACATTCTTTAATTGTTGCGATTGCTCTTGTTTTGTTTTGGCCATATATTTAAGGTACGCTGGCTACACTCAACGGTAACTACTAAAAGCGGTCAGGAACACAGGTCAAGCGAAAACTGAACGAGCTGCAGTTGCTTCCTCATATATGGGAGGTGTGGCTACTAATGGAAGCTTAGCAGCTGCGCCATCCAAAACTTATAATTAGCACCTGCTTGTTTTTTCTATAGTTAGTCAAAGATTAAGCCGTTGTCTTGAACATAAAATATCCTAAATCTACACTTTTGGCTTAGACGAACTTAGCTGTAAGCCTTAAAGGGCAATCATGAGCATACTTTTATTCACCTGCTAATTGGATATATAATGCACAACGAAACTGATCAGACTGAAAAAGGAACTACTGGATTTGTGATCAGTTTCTATCTGTATTTGTTTTTTGAGCTCTTAGAATTCTATTATATACCTTTCATATTAGATATATACTAAGTTGTTAGTCATACAGCATACACAGAGCAAGTGTATCATTTCAACTGGATAACACTCGATTATTAACAATTTGATCTTTTTCTTGAAGCTACTCTTGGATAATAATAAATGTATATTTTTGTGTACGTTTCTCGATTTTCTTAGGACTTATTTTTAGAGGTACTTTCTTGCTCTTAATAACGATCAGACCGTAAATATAGAATATATATATTTATCCCTGCTGGGTGGGGAAGAGCTGTGCAAAAATTGTGCAAAAAATCGGAATTATTTTGTATATAAAAACTTACGGCTGCAGCTCCTTTTGTTTGAAAATAATACTATTAATGCGATAGGAGCTCTTATTTGTCTCACACTGTCATTCCTCTGCTTACCAACCAAAGTAACTGAAATCCCTATACTACGATATTAGTCGCGAAATAATTAGTAAATTCATGCAATATTTTTTTAAATTGGAAACTTCACAAAAGTTAGATTTATTGGCTGAGTACAAAGCAACAAGTTTCATTTGTAACATATGGTAGCTTAAATATTTTTTCTTCTATGGAAAGATAGAAATCGGTATCAGTATTATAAAAACAATTAATTTTTAGACAATCGACTGAAAAAGGATAAAGTTGTTATCAAACAGTTTTCCGATAATTTGGCATAGTACCTGATATTCTTGTCTGCCATTACTTTTCATCAAATTTTAGCCTTATCACAGATAATTGTTGATAATTCAAAAGGCGAATCAAGATGAATAATATGACACGCATAGAATAGTTAATAAATGCATAACAAATAACATATATTGTGCCATTTTTATTCATTTATATACTCACAATCTGAGGGATAGTTTTTTTTTATTAATTTATCTGAGGGCTAGCATTGTGGTTGGGCCTTCAACTGCATTTATACTAAGTGAACTTAAACATTAAGTCGATGCTTGCTTAATAACTAAATACATAAGAATATAAACTATGGTTTACAATTTTTACACAATACCAATATCCATTTGTCATTTCTTTAAGTACCATAGCAGCAACAGATATCAGCACTTTGGCCCAGTAAAAAAAAAACTTCTAAGCACTTGTGCCGATAAAAACCGAATGGATTTGTGACATTGTATTGTGCTTGCTCTGGCTAAGCAAAAAGTTTTATCTGCTTTTGTTTGGCTCAAGTGAAAGTTAAATGGGCCAAAAGTAACCTTTGTGCAGTTGTTTACTCGAATATTTGCTGCCAAAAGGCCATTGCTCGATTCTGATATCAGAACTACCTGCGTGAATAGTTTGAGCAAGTTTTTTATTTCTATTTTTATTTCTTTTCTTATTTGTTTTGTTTTTTTTTTTTTACAGTTTTTACCCTGTGACCGTTTTGGATATAAAAACGAGGATAAAGAAGTTGTTCTTATATGTATATGTAACGGGCAGAAATAGATGACACTTTAAGTATTATTAATATTTATCTTGAAAGAAATCTATGTCAACTTAGACTTAATCTTATGAATAGGTGAGGACACGTACACTTTAATCAAATCAAATTAGTTTAAAATTCTTGATAATTCACCTACATTCTAAATTTGGCAGTAAACAAAAGACACATCAGGTTTTTTAGTTTTCAGTTAGACAAAGGTTGGTTACCGTTCTTCAATTTGATTTTGTTAGAGTTTTATACATAGATAATTTTTAATCATATGTTCGCATTTAGAAATAAATGTTTTCAGATGTCAGATCAATTCTTACCTGTGCACAGGGTATCACTTAGACGAGTATTATCGACTAGTGCAATCCTAGTTGCTTGAGTGTGAGTCTTTGCATTTTCAATGCATTGCGGTAATTTTGAAGCAGCCATTACTCGCACAGTATTTCACACGCATGCGGAGAACTTTTCAAAATGATTTATTCGGCCCGGATACTTACTTGGGTATCTGTGACAAAGTGCTCCTTTGATTTATGGCACTTTGGAAAACAATGCAAAGCGAAATGAGTTTGACATGTGCAGAGTCCAAAATTTGTTGTTACCGGCGCACAAATATATATTTAAGACAGCAAAATAAATTCAGCCAATTTTGAATGATGAAAGGTGAACGAAAGCTGAGCTGAGTTGAATTTTGTAAATTTGAAGAAAAGGTGTTTGCGTTGCGTTTAAGAGTAAAGTGTACTTGATTTAATGTTATGTAATGATTCCGCTCTTTGCTGTTTTTTTTATTTATTTTTTTAAGTTTTTACCAAAAAATTAAGTTTCGATAGGTTAAGATTTTTAACTACGCGTTACTCAAAGTCTAAAAGTGGGTGACATATAGACAGTCCCGATTTGGTCTTCACCTGAACATGGCCCACAACTTCAAAATGTTATGAAAAAAAACGAGAAACAAATACTCTCTATGTCACGCCGAAGTATAAACACCCTTGTCGATATATGATTTACGATAATGCTGATTAATGTAGTCAAGATATATTGAAAAGCAAAAAATCGGTGCATATAAGAGTCTACTTTTGGAGCGATCATACCTATGAAAGCTATATGAGACAGTGGTCCAATCAGGCATATATATATATATATATATATATATATATATATACATATGTATTAAAAGTGAGTTACTGGTTTTCATAGAAACATACAAACGGACATGGCTATACTGACTCGGCTTTTGATACTGATCAAGAATATATACATATATTTCTACTACATTGCGTCTACTTTTATGCGTTACGTCTTCCATAACAATATTATATTTCTTAATTTAAGGCTATAAACAAATATCAACATAGTAATCAATTATCATAACCCAAATGATCAAACAAAAAATAAAATTAACCTGTTGGGATTCCCACGAAGAACGTCAAGTTGAAGAACAACAGCTTATGCGAAAGACGATCAGATGACGTACGTGCTACATCTTTAGATTTATGCAAAAAACTGACACATGCTTTGTTGAATCAAAAAATATATTTTTTCAAAGAAATGTTTCATATATATACAACTTACATATATAATTAATTATATAACAATGCTGAGCCACGAACCGCACATTGGAGGGCACTTTTTATTTTCGTTTAACAATTTCCGAATTTTTTTTTTATTTGGTACTTTGTTTTGTGTTTTTTTGCTAATGAAATTAGCGCATGATTAATTAATACTTTGGAGTAAGGCACAATTGGAATTTCAAATATTTTTTAAGAATTCGCATTGCTAGAATTAAGTTATTTGCTGATTGTTTTCTCGCTTCCGGCTGGGAACTTCCACAAGGTGTCTGCGTGATTATGAAACAAATATATTTATGGTGGGGTTTCCATTGATATTGATTGATAAATGGGATCCTCCTTTGGTGGTCAGATCGATGGTGATATTTTGGCTTTTGGCATCGTCTTGGCCCACCTGATGGCGCTGGTTATAGCTATGATAGTCCAGGCCATTGTATCTGACGGTTGTCCAGTAGTAGAGCACATCTCCTGGCTGCAGCTTTTGCTGGCGATTGTGATATGTCCAGCGTCCGTTGCGTGCACTGACGACGTCGGTGGCCCAGGTTTGATCGCTGAGATCATCCATTTCCGCGTTGAGTTTGCCATGGAAGGCGAACAGCGTAATGCCCGGCTCGTCCGGTATGGAGACCTCAAAGCCGTGCGGCGTATTCACTTGGACTGTGGCCCTGGGCACTTCGTACGCCTGGCTGCTGCCTAATGCCGCCAGACAAACGATGAGCACTAAAACCAGCTGCTCGACT